ATTAAAGGGGGAGAGGAAGGAAGGTAAGGGGCAAGGGACATTTTTCTTGGGGACAGCAGGGAAGACCTGGCAGGGAGAGTGACGTGGGGGTGAGGGTCGTCCATGAGGGTCTGTGCGAGAACATTCCTGGCAGAGGAAACAGAGCTACCAGACCTAAGGCCAGAATGCGGGTGGCTGTCAGTGCCGCCCTGGCCTCTGCATTACTTAATATGAGAAAAAATGGTTACATCCAAATATTATTTTGTGATATAGTCTTCACCTTAACAATTTTTATTATAGATTTTTTTAAACATAGACAAAGGTAGAAAGACTAGAGAATATAAAGACCTGCAAACCCATGACCCACCTTCTTTTTTTTTTTAATATTTTTATTTATTTCTAGGAGAGAGAGAGACAGCGTGAGCAGGGGAGGGTCAGAGAGAGAGGGAGACACAGACTCTGAAACAGGCTCCAGGCTCTGAGCTGGCAGTCAGCACAGAGCCCGACGCGGGGCTCGAACCCACGAACCGCGAGATCATGACCTAAGCGAAAGTCGGACGCTTAACCGACTAAGCCACCCAGGCGCCCCTTCATGACCCGCCTTCTATGACTATGAACATTCTTCAGGCTCTCCTTCATATTATTCTCCCCCTCCCAGCTTTTGTCTATAGGTTTGCCAAAGAATCTAAAGTAAATCCCAGACAATGTGTCATTTTATCCATAAATGTTTCAGTATGTACCACTGACTTAAGGGCCTTTTTAAGAATTATTATCATCACACCCAATTAAGTTAACAATATTTTCGTATCCAATGCCTCATCCATTTGCCAATTTCACTTGTCTCAAGGTGCCTTTTTACAGGTGGTTTGTTTGGAACCAAACAAGGTGCCTCAGGCTGCTGTAGTTGGTCTCTCTCTCTCTCTCTCTCTCTCTCTCTCTCTTTCTCCCTCTGTCTCTCTTTGCCTCTGTGACTTTTTTTTTAAATTGAAGTGTAAGGGACATAAAATACCGTTTCAGGTGCACACGGTAGTGATTTGATATTTGTCTATATTATGAAATGATCCTCAGGGTAAGTCTAGTTACCATCTGGTGTTCCGGTCTCGACGTGGGTTCACTCCTCCGTGCCGTGGGTGGTGCCCGCCTGTCTGTGCTGGTGCTGGCACTTCCCCCTGTGAAACTTGAGCACTGAACGCCTCCCTTCACCTTCTTTACGGGACACCTGAGGTGACACCTGCATAGAACCAGGAGTTGGGCAAGACACTGTCACCGTTTCTGGTGGTCCCGCCGGGCGCACAGAGTGTAACCAAAGCACTCTGTCTCGGAAGTGGACGAGCCTTCATTCTGCGCTGGAAGGCGCGCCGTGTGTTCGTGGACGGCAGACGGGCTGAACCGAGCAAGGCGCGTCAGCACGCTCCTCAGCCGGGGCACCTGCCGCCAGCGCCCAGCGGGGCCGCCAGCGGTCACAGGCCTGACCGTGCAGGGACGCATTAGGCACACTCTCCAGGAGCCCCGCTTCCTGCCCCTCCCCCACTCACCCCCCACAAAACAAACAAATGGGCAAAACCAAAACAGAACACGACTCTTTTTTTTTTTTAATGTTTTATTTATTTCTAGGAGAGAGAGAGAGAGACAGCGTGAACAGGGGAGGGTCAGAGAGAGAGGGTCACAGACTGAAACAGGCTCCAGGCTCTGAGCTGGCAGCCAGCACAGAGCCCGACGCGGGGCTCGAACCCACGAACCGCGAGATCTTGACCTAAGCGAAAGTCGGACGCTTAACCGACTGAGCCACCCAGGCGCCCTGAGAACACGACTCTTCCTAAGGGGCAGAGCCAAGTCGAAGTCACCAAAAACTTGCCCCCCTTGAGACAGCTGTCCTAAACCAAGAGATTCATGAGCGTGGCAGCCAGCGACAGCCACCCTCCGCTCTGAAGCCCTTCCATTACACGCTCACCGCCTGCGGGGGAAGAACTATTAAGAGCCCTACTTTTCGGATGAAGAAAAGAGGCACAGAGCAGAAAGGCTCCAAGGTCTGGTGGCCAGGTGCTTGAGGCCAGGCGGCCTGCTGCAGCGCCCCCTCCTGTCCTCTGCGTCACACTGCACCCCTCCCACCCCAGAGCTGGTGGGCTCGCGCGTAGTGGGAAGGAGAGGGGAGCCGACCAGAGTGCGGCCTACGAGACGGTAAGGCTGGAGGCTGTGTGGACCGACGGAAGGAAGGGGCGTCAACCCTCTTTGGCCCGGGGGGGGGGGGGAGGGGGGGAGGGGAATGAGCCCCACGCCAACCCTCCGCCCCGACCAGTGCGAGAAAGAGAGCGGTGGAGGAGCTACTTCCCTCACGTCTAAGATATAGATTGCACCCGAAACCACCCCAGCCGGCCCGTCAACCTCCCCAGAACTTAGATCTAGCAAAACGTTTTTAACGCTAACAGTTTAGCCTGCGCGACAGCTGCAGTAAAACTGAATTTTACGCTTTGGGCTCAAATAGGAAGCAAATAAGATGTGTATCCTGTTATACCTTTCACAATTCAAGGTGTGCGTGTGCGTGTGGCGGGAGGTGCCTGCCTTCCGTGTGTCATTCTGGGAGGTGAAAGCAGGTTTTCCCTGGCCGCTCGCAGGTGCAATCTCCCATCTCTCTCCACCTGCAAAAGAGGTTTCGGCCCCTGGATCCTTTTAGCTGTCCCATTCAGTATTCTTTGAGCTGCAGCTTGCCTCCCCTCCCTTGCCCCTGGCTTCAGTGTACCCCCGGGGAGTGGCCCTAGGAAGGCGCCTCTGCCCCCCTGCTTTAGGGTTCCTGAAGCACCCGGCTATGCTCGATTCCTTTTTATCAGTACAGGAGAACCTACATGAAAACGGGCTCCCCACACGGGGCAGGCCTCCTGAGGCCGGAATGGGGAGTTGGGATGGGTCTGGAAGCAGGAGCCCTTGCCGAAAGCTAAGTGAGCTTCTGCGGCATTTTCTTTTTGCCTTTATATTGTCTCGTGTGGAGTTTTGGAATCCACAGGAGGATGGATAGCCAAGGATGTAGGAATATCAGTAATTCTCGGTGTCAAGACTCAAGATAGTTCAGGCAGTAATTCAGGGCACCCTAAATGGAAAGGAAACCCCCCCTATGGTAAGAGGCTCCCGAGGGGCTGGTCTCTGGGTCCCTCTGGGCGTTTTCTAGCACCAAGAGTGGAAGCAAACAAGATTGTTTGAATGTGCTCAGAAGAGGGTACTTCAGCGAGAAAAGCTGCCCCCTCCAAATGGAGTGCTGCTAGAAGTATCTAAATAGGACCCCTGTAGCTTTTTGTCCTGGAGACCTGCGGGACACAAAAGCTTGCAGAGAGCACAGAGATTGCTGCGCCCGCTCCAGGGGCCCCTGAGTCTGTGTGTGGTTCTGAGCTCAAGGGGGTCTACTCACCAGCAACTTAAGAGATGCCAACTCTAAATTGAAAAAGAAAAAGAAAGGAAGGAAGGAAGGAAGGAAGGAAGGAAGGAAGGAAGGAAGGAAGGAAGGAAGGAAGGAAGGAAGGAAGGAAGGAAACTTTGAAGGACTGATAAGGGATGTGATGAACATGTGAGACATGGAATTTGTCAGCCCTCAATGTGTCCAAAGGTTCAATTTAGAATGTTTGAAAAAAACAAGCAAGCACTGTTTTCTGAAGAGCCTTCTGCGTGGCTCTGTGCTCGGGTTTTCTTCTGCCTTCACCACACTGAACAGCTCCGGGAAGGGAATTCCTCTGTGTCAAATGCCTCTTCCTGGACCTGAGGCCCAAAGTGGCCAACAAATCCAACTGCATGGGGTCCTTGTGGCCATGCGAGGCCCTGACCTCGCTCCTGTCCCCTCCACGAAGAGCTCCTGGCCCTGCCCTGTGACAGTCCAGTCACCTGGCAGGATACACAATTTCAGACCAGATGACGCGCTTTCAGGAAGAGCTGTATGTTGGGAAGTTTTGGCACCTTTCCATGACCGACTTCACGAATTTTGTGCTAGAAAAGAGGTTAATTGTTTTTTTCCCAACGTGAGCTGACTGCAGGTTTGGGTTTTTTATTTTGTTTTGTTTTGGTTTTTGTATTATCTTTTCCCTTTTCCTACCCACTCCCACGTGGCTGGGTTTCCCTTTTAGACCAAAGCAGAGAGAGGCAATGGAGCGATACCCTGGGCTTGCCCCGCTGCCTCTCATACGGATGGGGGGACACGTGTGCTCCGCAGTGCAGCTCCCACAGTGTGGCTCAGCCGATCCCAGGCCCTGGTGGCCGTGCGGTCCGCTGATTCAGATATTGCAAAGACTGGGTCTGAACTTCCAAAATGGCAAATGTAAATGGTTTCACTGCAAATGGTTATCTGGTGTTCACAACACACACTGAGCACTTGAATATTTATTGTGAGCGCGCAGCGTTTGTCAGAGAACATGCAAAGATCTCTTACTGCAATTATCTTGTTCCAGCTTTAAAATATCAGCTGTCACTTCTTTCATGGGTCTTGTGAGAAAGGAAAGTCTCTCTTTCTTTAACTCGCTTTTCCCTTGAACACAATTACCACCTCATTCACGGCTCTTTGTGGCCACCTAATCTTGCTGATTATGCCGGTGACACGGCCACAAAGCATCATGACTGACGTACCTGACAGCTCTGGCTGGTGACAGAGCGGCCACAAAGAGGGACAGCCCTTTGTGGGATGAGTCCCCCTGACGGCCAGCCTCTGAGGAACTCGAGGCGGGAAGGTACAAACGGGGAGGGAGGGCAGCGGGCACCACAACCCCTTCCTCTCCCGCGGGGTCCCTTGCTTTTAACTTGATAGCCTGGTGGCCCTGAGGAGTGAGGACTCCTGAGCACACCTACGGAATTCATCCATTGTTGCCTCAGCGCAAGGCTCTGCACTCCCTTCACACACAATGAGGAAGGCAGGTCCCGAGGCCCGGCTCCCATGGGGCCAGGCCTAATCTGCCTTCCCTGGGGGGCCTCGAGAATCAGACCCTCGCCAGGCTGGGGCGGGCGGGGGGGGGGGGCGCAGGACGCATCGCTGAAGCCAGGCGCCCAGCTGTACACCTTGTGCGGGGACTCCGTGCACAGGGTCCCCAGGTGCAGCCATCCTGGTCGGAGGGAAGCAGATACACCAAACGGAACTGGTGCACAGCCTCCCAAAGAAGCTGCAACGCTCTCAGTGTGACCCCCCCAAGCTTCACTCCTTGGCGCAGGAAGTGACCCTGGGTGCCTTGTGTGGGGTACATTGAGGTATATCTCTGAATCTGGGTCTTTTTTCCTCACTTCCCTTTTTGGACTACAGAACTAATAAGTATTTATTGTTAAAACATTATCCACTTTCCCATAATGCAACCTGGTATCACGCAGAGCATGCTCTCGAAAATGTTCTTTTTACATTTATTGAATATTTTTAATTTTTTTTTATATTTGAGGGAGAGAGAGAGAGAGACAGTGCAAGTGCGAGAGGGGCAGCGAGGGGGCTCAAACTCACCAACTGTGAGATCATGACCTGAGCTGAGATCAGGAGTCGGAAGCTGAGCCACCCAGTCTCCTCTGCTGTAGGTACAGTTATTAACATCCACACAGTTAATAGTAATCTTTCTTACAAAAGGGACTGCACTATCCACACAGTCTTACAACTTTTTTCTTTATTCTATCTTGGCCATCTTTGCATGACTGACGTTTTTAGTAATTGATCTTTGGTCAGTTTTAGGGGCAGCCCAGGCTTGTGGTTGCAGGGAAGCAGTGAACAGCCCTAAGAATGAAAGCTCCCCTCCTGGCCGGAGCCCGCCCTGCAGCCGTTCCTCTGGGGCAGCTGCCTGTCACTCTGGCCGTCCGCGCCCTGAAAATAGAGGTGTGCTTCATGTCCAAATATGTAAATAGCCCAAACATGTTAAATCTGTTGGACATTACACCTAGGATGGACATTAAAATAACAGAAAACCTTATCAACTGTACTTCAATTAAAAAAACAAACAAACAGGGGCACCTGGGTGGCGCAGTCAGTTAAATGTCCGACTCTTAGCTCAGGTTACAGTCTCACAGTTCAAGCCCTGCGTGGGGCCGCTGTGCTGATGGTGCAGGACCTGCTTGGGATCCTGTCTCTCCTTCTCTATGCCCCTCTCTCGCTTGTGTGCATTCTCTCTCTCTCTCTCTCTCAAATAAATAAAACTTACAAACAAACAGAAACAGCCAAACTTGGAATGCAGCACAGAAGCACTGTCACCAATATCAGGCGTGGTTATAATGTCACTTCCCAAAGGCAGGGCAGGTGCCGGGGAGCAGCCCTACAGTTGAGAACGATGGAGAAAACCTTTCTAGATCTCTCAGACCTGCAATCTCGGTCACCAAAGGCTGTCCCGGGGGACCGCTACAGGAACCCAAGCCACCCAACCCTGGAAGCCTCAGTTTCTCACTGTGAACACCAAACTGAAGCACCTCCTAGGCAGAGGTGATGTGGAGCATCTGGCTACCTGGTTAGTCCTGAGGGCTGGAGAGGGACCCCGGCCTCCGTGGGACAAGAGCGGGGGTCTGGAGCACAGTTTCTTCAGAAGGGAATTTCCATCTGGAATTTTACTGGGAGGTGTCACTTCAAAAGCCTTCCGGGAAAGGACTGCTATGGATACTTAACATTTGGCTGCCCAGTTAGTTCATTGGCCCAAATACCTAATTAATAAGTGATACCTTCCATCAAATTTACTGCATGCTGGCAGGAAAAAAATGTCTTACTAAAACAATTTATTTGGGGCGCCTGGGTGGCTTAGTCGGTTAAGCGTCCGACTTTCGCTTAGGTCATGATCTCGCGGTTCGTGGGTTCGGGCCCCGCATCGGGCTCTGTGCTGACCGCCAGCTCGGAGCCTGGGGCCTGTTTCAGTCTGTGACTCCCTCTCTCTCTGACCCTCCCCTGCTCACGCTGCCTTTCTCTCTCTCTCCTAGAAATAAATTTAAAAAAAAAATTAAAAAAAAATAAAACAATTTATTTGTTATGTTTACCTTTAAAAGAATCACTTCAAAAATTGCTAAGACCAAGCCCTTCCCCTATCGGTTCAAAGGCCCCATGGTTCTGCCTGGAGGCAATGGCTGTTACAGGGACACTGCCATTGGAGGGTTCCCGGCACCCAAGCAGGGTAATCCATGCAGCACCCCCGCTCAGTGCTGGCTGTGACTGCTGTAAGACAACGGGGTATCTGGGCTGGCAGCTCCATAGCGGCCTAGGTAGCCCAGGGCGTCATCCTCTGCCCTGCTGTTCTCTGCAGCATCTTCTTATCCACGTATTTGTCAATATTTGGTCACAGATGGCTGCCATCGCTCCAGGTCACATGTGACAGCATCTGGAGCCCAAAAGAAAGGACAGGGGTCCTGTCCCCAGGGTTCTCTCTTTTGAGCTCAGCTGCAGGGGATGCCGAGAAAGCCGATCTAGCACATTTGGCCTTCTTTGCTGGAGTCAGCCTTGGCGGGAAGGAGGTGAGGGGTGGCTGCTGGCGGGTCACCCACAGACCTGCCATGGTGGGTTCTGCTCCCAGTGTTCAAAGCCATTGTGCACATTAAACCAGACACCATTTTTCACCTAATAGAGTGGGGAAGCTAAAAGTTGGCTAACACACTGTCTTGGCAAGGATGTAGAGAAACAGGCACTCTTCATGCATTTCTGGCAGGAGTAAAAGCTTGTACAACCTCCATGGTGAGCAATTTGGCAATATCTATCCAAATTAAAACTGCTCATACCCTTTGACCCAACAGCTCTCCACTCCTAGTATTTTATTCTACAGATATCTTTGAACATATGTGAAATGACATCTGTATGTAGACAGTCTTAATAGTACTGTTCGTGATAGAAAAATACTAGAATAGCCAAAATGTCCATCAAATAAAGATTGTCAAATAAATAATGGCACAGCCATACAAAGATGCTAGGCAGCCATTAATGAGAATGAAGCAGTTTTATATGTGCTGATACAGAATGATTTCCAAGGTATACTTTTAAGTTAAAAGAAAAAAAAGAGCAAATACAGAATACTCATTGGTGTTTAAAAAATTATATAGATAGGGGCCTTTGGGTGGCTCAGTCACATCTGACTGGTCATGATCTCACCATTCATGGGTTCTAGAGCCCCACATCAGGCTCTGTGCTGACAGCTCAGAGCCTGGAGCCTGCTTCAGATTCTGTGTCTCCCTCTCTCTCTGTCCCTCTTGTGCTCTGCCTCTCTCTCTCTCAAAAATAAAGAAGCATTAAAAAAATTATATATATAAGATTAGGGGCGCTTGGGTGACTAAGTTGGGTAAGCATCCAACCCTTGGTTTTGGCTCAGGTCATAATCTCACAGTTTGTGGGTTCAAGCCCCACATCAGGCTCCACACTGACAGTGCAGGGCCTGCTTGGGATTCTCTTTCTCTCCCTCTCTCTGCCTCTCTCTAATCCCCCTCTTATAATAAATAAGTAAACTTAACAAAAATTTTAGATAAAAATTATATATATATAATTATATAAAACTACAATTATATAACCAACTGTATATCATTTACTGTATGTCACACACTGCACTTTACATTTACTCATTTTCACAAAAAAATCTAGGAAATAGATACCAGTATGGCATTGAACTAGTGGGGAAAATGAAACACAGGTCACATTTGCCCAAGGTCACACAACTAGTTAAATAAGAGGGTGGGATTTGAACCATGTCAGGCTGGTGTGAGTGCTCCCCCCGCCCACCCTCATGCACGCATGCACACACGCACCCCGGGAAAGAAAGACAAGAAACTGAAATACTCATTTGCTTCTGAGAGTCATCCCATGGCTAGTGGATAGATGTGAGTGGGAGACTTCATTACAATAAGCCTTTTGTATTTTATACCATGTACATGAATTACCTATTCAAGAGAGTACACATAATGGTAAATTTGGTTATTTTTCTACATTCTTCATGCCTTCCTGTAATAGAATTACACCCTGCACCTTCTAGGCCCCCATGTTGGGTTTGCCTCTGTGACACACTCTGGCTCATGAAATGGCAGTGGACGGCATGACAATGGCTCATTCCAAGCCCAGGCCTTCGGAATCACAGCATGTGTCTGCTCGGCCACCTGTATCTCGGGTCTCACCCCGAGGAGAACATGATCTGATACTTACTGGCCACGGAGAATGAGAAACACGGGAGCTACGTGAACCACGAGCAGCCTGGGGCCTCGGGCTCCCTGGCAAGTGTGATGGACCACATCCCGCGCGTCTCCTCGCCCCACGAGTAAGAAAGACAAATGCGTCACAGTTTAGACCACTGAGACCAAGGTCATTTCAAAGGACTTATTTTTTAAAAATTTAGTTATTTGTGGTCCCTTCTATTAACTGTCTGCCCATGTATTTTGCCTATTATTCTATGGATTGTTATTAACATCTAAAGCCCTTTATGGTGTTGTAAATTTCTCCCCAGCTTGTCATTTGTCTTTCGACTGTGACAAAAGTCATGCTTCTTCCACCCAGAAAATTTTAATTTGTGTGTATTTGTACATGGTTGAATTTATCAGTCTTCGTTGTAGGAATTCTATAGGAGTTTTGTTTTGTAATTAGAGATTAACAGAGGGGTACCTGGGTGGCTCAGTTGGTTAAGTGTTTGACTCTGGGTTTTGGCTCAGGTCATGATCTCACGGTTCATGAGATCGAGCCCTGCGTCGGGCTCTGCGATATCAGCGTGGGCCTGCTTGGGATTCTGTCTCTCTTGGCCCCTCCCCTGTTAGCTTGCTGTCTCTAAATAAAATATAAGTAAGTAAACAAATAAATAGAAATTAACTGAAACTGTTGTCCTATATTTTCTCCTGGGGCTTTTATAATTCCATTTTTAACCTACGACTCATCTGGAAAATATTTTAGGATAACCCACTAAAATGTCACATTTGCCATATACTAAATATGTATTTGGGTCTTTCCAGAATCCATTTTGTTTCATAATTTTTCATAAACTAGTATCATCCAGACTATCTTCATTGCAGCTGTTATGGTTTGAAGTGGCCAATGAATCACACCACCAGTTTCTTTCCACAGGTTTCCACTGACAGATGGAAGATCAAATCTGCATTCCATATGCTGCTATGTTGCTTCCTACTACCTCCTGTCCTGAAGAAAGACTGCAGCCCGGACCACCAATGGCCCATGGCCCTGGTACGTAGGGGAGAAGGCCCTGAGTTGACCTCCCCTCCAAAGCGTTGGGGGTGAGGCTGAAGGTGACATTGTTCCCCTCTGTCTCTGAGGGCTGGGGTGTCCTCACCTCTCTACGGTGCCAGGAGGCCACAGCTGGAGCCTCGTCTTTGACACCTGGCAGGACCAGCCTCCCTCATTACCTGTTCTCAGCACTGTCCTGGTGACTCGTGCACAGCGTTATTCCGTATCAACATTAGAGTAAATTTTCCACTTAAAAAAATACTTTGTAGGTATTGTTATCGGAAAAGCATTAAATAATGAGGTCAGTTTCGGGAGAATTGACAGATTTAACTACTGGAACTTTGTCTTCAAAAGCACTTTCCGCTGTAACGCAAAATGTGCATTCCTAACCAGCCTCCCATTCACACGCTAAAATTGAGGGAAGCAGCATTTGGGGGGGGACTACTTAAAATCAACTTTGTAACCAAAGTGGTAATAATTGTGCAATCTTCACAAAACTCTAGCACAGTTAGAAGGACATGTAAAATCCGGGGCGCCTGGGTGGCTTAGTCGGTTAAGCGTCCGACTTTCGCTTAGGTCATGATCTCGCGGTTCGTGGGTTCAGGCCCCGCGTCGGGCTCTGTGCTGACTGCCAGCTCAGAGCCTGGAGCCTATTTCAGAGTCTGTGTCTCCCTCTCTCTCTGACCCTCCCCTGCTCACGCTGTCTCTCTCTCTCCTAGAAATAAATAAAAATATTAAAAAAAAAAAAAAAAGGACATGTAAAATCCTAATAAAAATATATGTTACGTGTAGGATTTTACCCTTTAAAAAAAGGAGATGCTAGGTTGATGGAGGTGCCCTGAGGAGGGGGCAGGGCAAGAGCAAAGACTCGGCAGCTGGACAGTCAGCTGCAGGCCCAGCTCCAAGCGCAGCTGGAGGGTTGAGACCCTTTGCTGTGTTTCTGGAGACCCCCAACCAGCACTGGGTGCAAAGCATTAGTCTTGGGGGGGAACACCATGAGGCACGTGTGTGCAATTCATGGTACAGGTTCCTGCTCAGGTGGCACAGTGGGCAAGTGTCCTCTTCCGATTCAAGCTTCCTTCTGTGCCCTCCAGGGGGACTTTAAAGTCTCCTTTCTGTATACTTCACACATTTCTTTACACTTGTCTTCCTAGGTGTTTCATCTTGTCTTCCATTGTATTCTGACTGTCCATTATTATTTTCTTATATACAGAAAGGCTATGGATTTTTGTATATCAATCGTGTACCAGTCACATGACTGAATTCTTATTGTTTATAATTTTTAAAGGCAATTCTCTTGGAAACACACATCACCTGTCTTTTCCACCTCATCTTTTCCCCTTGTTCACCTGCACAGGTGCCGGCAGGTAGGCCACCAGGGCCACACCATGGGACAGCTGTGGTGTAAACAGGGTGGCCTGTTCTTGATTCTAGTGCTTTTCCATCAGCACCATTTGCTCGTGGCTCGAGACAGGAATACATCATTATATTAGGGGCGCCTCGCCGGCTCAGTTGGTCAAGCATGCGACTCCTGATCTCAGGCTGGTGAGTTCAAGCCCCACACTGGGGGCAGAGCCTACTTTAAAAAAAAAAAAAAAGAAAGAAAAGAAATATATTATTATATTAAACAGAGGTCTATCCATCCCTATGTTATTATTCATCTATTCTTTGTATTTCCTTTGAAATATTAAGACATGGAAACTTCAATGGTGATGCATTCATTCATTCAAAACATATAAAATCCTATCGTAAGCCAGCACTACTTTAGGACGAGACTTCAGAGGGTAAACCAACTAGCCCTGGTCCCTGCCCTCGAGGCGCTTCTAATTGAATGTATGGAACAGACAGTCAACAGAGAGAGCATCATTTAAGGCAGTTACCCATTAGTCAATGGGCCATCTTCCCTGAGGACCTGGAAGGCAGGTAAGGAAGGTCCTCCTGCGGTGGAAATGTCCCTGTGGAAGGGAAGAGGTGTTGCAAGTCCCTCTCCCTGAGTGGCATTGCCCGTGGAAAGCAAGTGAGCGGGAACCAGGCTGGACCAGAGGGATCAGGTACACCTGGTCCCCGTAGCAGAACAAACTGGACTCTCTGGATGTTTCAATAGACAGTTCCCGAAGAAGCTGCTGAAGCACCACCTTCCAAGACTGAGGTCATAGTGCTCCACCGATAGAAGTGCCCTCTGCAAAACTGCACTGCAGCAAGGGGCGCTGGTGCCCTCCCCCACCCCCCAGCAGTCCTGCACGCACATGACACGGATGTGGAGGATGCCTGCTCTGAGTCCATTCAGAGGATGAGGGTGTTGCTGACCCTGCCTCCAAGTTTCTCAGGGCCCAAGCCTCACATATGGCAAAACATAAATACTGCATTTCCTCACATTGATTCCTACACAAGGGGTTTTATGGGTCACCCACAACATAAGGATAATCTGGCTGAACCAAGCAGTGTGAGCCTTCCTGTCCCACCTGAAGTCATAGTTAAGAAAGTTGCCATAGGTTGTGTACACCAACCCTGCTTATAGAATTATACACAATCGCTTCCATGTGCTTTTATGTATTTTTCAGGGTAGGCTCTGGCTGTGAGAGTAAAATTTATAACAATGCCAAGGAGAACCAAATGTCCAATTGTGCTTTCACCTGCCTAGCTCCTCCTGTACCTCAATGCCACACTCTCAAAGGCAGTGCTGCTCAGCTCCATTAGGCATGGGACCACCCACCCCAGACACCTTCCTGTCTAAACAAGCCCATAGCTCTGGTGACCCAAGGTAAGTTAACACAGGCCAGGCCCTAAGTGCTCAATAAGCTCTAACTGCTTGTAATCATTTGGTGTGCATTTGAAAAGCAACAGGATTCTTGGCTTCAGTATGCCAAGATCTTTGCTTGGGCATAAAAGGGAGCGCCCCTTTGAGATTAAGAGAGCTTCCGAGGGCACCTAGGTGGTTCAGTCAGTTAAACATCCAAACTCTTGATTTTGGCTCAGGTCATCATCTCATAGTTCATGAGATTGAACCCCGCATTGGGCTCTGCATTGACAGCACGGAGCCTGCTTGGGTTTCTCCCTCTCCCTCTCTCTGCCTCTCCCCTGCTCACACAAGCACACCCTTTCTCAAAATAAATAAACAAAAAAAGCATTCTAATCTCAAAAAGATCAATAGTTGTTGGACTATCTCCATTCATTATATGTAATTACTTACCAATGTGGCTGATGATATGAGTTCACTACACTGGCAGCACAGTTTTTCATTAAGAATCACTTTGTTACCTTCTGCGGCATCGCAAATTACCGGCAACTTAGTGGCTTAAACAATAAGCATGTATGATATCAGTTTCTATGGGTTGGGAATGGGCGCCCAGTTTAGCCATCCAGTGTTGGATGAGACTAGTGTTGGTCTTGTCTGAAGGTTCAACCGGGGAAGGATCCACTGTCAAGCTCAATTACGTGATGGTCCACAGGATTCGCTGCCCTTTGACCTGCTGGACTGAGCCCCTCAGTTCCTAACCAGCTGTTGGTTAGAAGCTGCTCTCAGTGCTTTACCACACAGCCCTCCCCAGTTGGCATCTGGTTCCCTTAAAGCCAGTGACAGTCTATCAGCAAGATGGGCATCAGACTCTTCGTAATCTAATCAAGGAAGTGACGCGTCCACCAATGTTGAGGTTAGAAGGACGTTGCTCAGGTGGAAGGATTTCACAGGCCGTGAACATGAGGAGAAAGGAATCGTTGTGGGCCATCTCAGACACTGCCTGTAACGCCCACCATATCCATCACTCAAGTAATCCTTATTTACAAAGCAACTATTTTGAGAATATCTCAGCTCTGAACATTTTTATCGGCTCATTCTCTTATCCAAGTTATAGGAAATGGTATAAAAACACAAAAACAAATGACCTATTTCTTTAAAGTATTTCAACAGTTTAGTTTCACTGCTTTAATACGTCACCGGGTTGTTTAAAATGACAGAGTAAGTAGTGATATCAAATAATTTCCATAACCGTGGTCCTATAGGGTTCAAGGACTTAGGAAGTTCTGGGACAAGGAGGAGCACTGTTTGTAAGGCAGCGTGACAGCACACAGGGGAGCTGGCAGGAAGCTGGACGTGTGGTTGTGAAAATCACAATGGCATTTTGAAATTTAATAAGAGCTGGCTGGCCACCGAAAAAGATACAACGCGCATACAATTTGAAAAGTAAACTTTATCAGATGCCAGCGAGTTGGCGGCGGGACTCCGGGGACCAGCAACGTGACACCCGGATATCTGAGCCAGGCTGGGCATCCAGCATGAGCAGGGCCAAGGGATGCGGCTTTGAGAGGGCTGACGCGCTCGTTCTCACCAAGTGGAAGATGCTGAGAAATAGACTTTTCACTTCAGAACAAGGTTTTCATCAAACCTCTATGACAAGAATCCCCCATGTTAAATATAGTATTTTAGAAAATGAATACTGAATTGAAAAGGGAGGAAAGCCACTCAGTAAACAAAGAGAACAAGTTCGTATTTGTGAAGACACAGCCCAATTTAATTCTACCCAGAGATCTGTGTCCCATAAAATACATGTATCATATGTATAAAATCATCCCTGAGTTTAATTGGAGACTAAAAACAGATACCCTCTCACTCAATCTCATTTCTGGACTAATTAAGTCAGTAATGATGTACATTAATCATCCCTGAATTCTACTTTGGGTCTTGCCTGCTAAATATCTTGCCTGGCTGAGAAGCAGGAGTGTGTGTCAGATATGCGACCCAGGTGGGACACGATCATCTGTGATCTCAGGGTCACTTTACAAACACAGGGGATCAAATTTTTAAAAGAAGGCATATACCAATGTTACATTTTCTCTAATTATTTCCAGAACAGTACTTACCGTCTGCCACTGGGTACCCAAGTCAAAAACACCAAAGTTCGATCCCAACCCTGGCCTGCTCATCTACACCAGGCCATCCTGCCCTCCTGAGCTCAGCACCACCCACAGCCGGCTATTGACTGGCTGGTCTGTCCCCAGACATGGTCACAGGTGCCTGGAGGCTACAGCAGGAGGAAGGCCCCTGATCCTCTCCCCCAGGCCTCCCCACCAAGAAAGGGTCCATCGCTATAAAGCTGTTATGAATTTGGGGTGACAGTCGTATAAGGCACTGAGACACAACCTGCCACATAGGAAGCACTCAATAAACATTTACCTATTATGGTGAGGAACAGTCCACAGGAGACTGCTGAGAAACTAAGAAAAGAAATTTTGGGGAAAGCCTGGGATGATGTGTACTGGGGT